CCTCCCCCCCCCAGTGGGACCTCCCCAGCCCCCCCAGTGGTCGCCAGCGCCCCCCAGTGGGGCCTCCCCAGCCGCGCCCAGTGCCCCCTCCGCCCCGACGATTTTATTTTTCGCGACGCACCCCTCCCCCCCCCCCAGTGGGACCTCCGCCCTGGGCAGCCTCCCCAGCGCCCCAGTGCCCCCTCCGCCCCGACGACGCACAGCCTCCCCAGCGAGTTTTTACGATTTTATTTTTCGCGACGCACCCCTCCCCCCCCCCCCAGTGGGACCTCCCCAGCGCCCCCCAGTGGTCCCCAGCGCCCCCCAGTGGGGCCTCCCCAGCCGCGCCCAGTGCCCCCTCCGCCCCGACGATTTTATTTTTCGCGACGCACCCCCCCCCCCTCCCCCCCCCCAGTGGGACCTCCCCAGCGCCCCCCAGTGGTCCCCAGCGCCCCCCAGTGGGGCCTCCCCAGCCGCGCCCAGTGCCCCCTCCGCCCCGACGATTTTATTCTCTTGCACAGTTGTGTTCTAGAGCTCGGACCTCTGTATTTTCGTCGTCGTTCGTTCGTTCGTCATTCGTCCTCCCCCCCCCGGCCACAGAAGGAAATTCCTGGCGGAAGGAGGCGAATGCCTCCTGTCCCTCTCAGCTCCTTGGTGCAAGAGCTAGGGCACGCGTGCCACTTGTTTTCCTGGGGGTCGACTATTCATTGTCTCTGCTTGGTTTCTTTCCCTCCTGAAATTGGACGGCGAGCGCGCCTCCCTGGCCCTCATGGTCAACCGCCTGCGTCGCAAGATCCCCCGCGCCCCCGACAGCTCGCGCAGGGCGCCCGACGAATGGGGCGCGCGCCGCAGCGCGCGCGACCCCGGGGCGTCTGGGAAGGGGCGAGACCCGGCACGGCATCGCCGGGAAATCTTGCTCGGCTACTCGGGGTCAAGGGGGCGACGTCACTCCAGCGCCCGCTCGCGCGAGACTTCCGCGCAACTGCGGCGAAGAAGAGACTCGCCCTCGCAGAGGCCCCCCACAACGCTCCCCCGCGAGCGGCAGCTGCCAGCCCTCCCGGTTCCGCGCCCAAGGAAGAGTCGACAGCCCAGCGCCCCAGCAGCGGCAGCTCCCCACGCGCGGAGCACTAGAGACGGCCGCCCCCCCAGCGCTTCCGAGGCCAAACGCGGAGCGGCGCGGCCCCGGCCAACCCCCCGCCACCCCGCGGCGCGCAGCGGCGCCGGTCCGCGCTGGAGGCGTGGATGGGCGCGCAGAGTCGCTCGAAGCCCCCCCTGAGGCTCGGCGGGGCAGGGAAAGGAGGAGGAGCTCCAGCCCCCGCTCAGCCTCTCACGAGCTCCCCCGCGAATGGAGACGGCGCAGCCCCGGCAACTCCTCTCAGCCAGCGGCCAGCGCGCCCCCCTCCTCCAGCCCCACTCGCGCTGAGGCCCCACTGGCAGATCGGCCCAATTCTATAACCTCGCAAACCGCAGAGGGTTATCCCGGCAAAGCAACCTAACAGCGATGTGTAGGAGCATAACTGGAAGCATTCCCCTTAAGATTCAGATGAGAATCCAGTTGTAGAATTCTGTTGTTCTCGCAGTCGTAATCGCATTCGCGATGACAGTCGCAGCGGCGACGGCAGTCGCAGTCACAGCCTCAGCCTGCCTCAGCCTCAGCCTCAGCCTGCCTCAGCCTCAGCCTGCCTCAGCCTCGGCCTCGGCCTGCTTCAGCCTCAGCCTCAGTCTGCCTTCAGCCTCGGCCTCAGCCTCAGCCTGCCTCAGCCTCAGCCTGCATCAGCCTCAGCCTCAGCCTCAGCCTGCCTCAGCATCAGCCTGCCTCAGCCTCAGCCCCAGCCTCGGCCTCAGCCTCAGCCTCAGTCTGCTTCAGCCTCAGCCTCAGTCTGCCTTCAGCCTCGGCCTCAGCCTGCCTCAGCCTCAGCCTGCCTCGGCCGCAGCATCATTCAAATGTGGCCCAGGAACGGAATTCTGGTAAATAGAAGAACACGAAGTGGCCTGCAGTTGGCTCCGGGCATTCAAAATCATGCCCAGGAATGGAGTTCTGGGAACTCGAAGAGCACGAAGTGGCCTACAGTTGGCTTCTGGCATTCAAAATGTGGCCCGGGAATTGTGTTCTGGGAACTCGAAGAGCACGAAGTGGCCTACAGTTGGCTCCTGGCATTCAAAATGTGGCCCGGGAATTGTGTTCTGGGAAATCCAAGAACACGAAGTGGCCTACAGTTGGCTCCGGGCATCCACAATGTGGCCCGGGAATGGAGTTCTGGGAAGTCGAAGAGCACGAAGTGGCCTACAGTTGGCTCTGGGTATTCAGAATGTGTCCCGGGAATGGAGTTCTGGGAGGTCGAAGAGCACGAAGTGTGTGACTGTTTGCGAAAAACGAATCAGGACACGAGTTCGGACACAGCTCCCCGGATGCCGCCCAGACCCCCCTGTGGAGTCATCTGCTGCTCTCTTTTGACACCACTTGAAACCTATCAGTCTTCGCTGTTAAGTAAAAACCAATCCACAAAACTCCCAGGGCCAGCGAACTGCGCAGCCCATGCGCATCCCAGTCGCGGCGCGGACGAGGCCCAGCGGAAAGTGCACCGCCCTACACACAGGAGCCGGCGCCGCGCCACCCGCCCTCTTTCGCGCCGCCCGCGCCTAGGTCGAACAACAATGACAGGCTCTGCTACAAGCCAAGGCGCCAGGTGACCTGGCGCCCGACCTGGAGCCACCGAACCAACGCAAGAGACGGCTGAAGAGCGCAAATCAATCGCCTCGAGGAAGAATACAGCCCCATGCTGGCCATCGGGTGGAATGCCATCTGCGACCAGAAGTGCGGACCCCACTCCGACACAGACCCCAGCCTCGCGACTCTGAATATGGCCGAGGTTTCGTGCGCGACCTCAACGAGGCCAATTGCGACGTGCGCAGACTTTGCTGGAAGAGAGGCGTACAAGTCGATTGGCGCGCTGAGTGGCATCGCGAACTTGACGAGCGGAGGCAGAGCGCTGTGCTCGCGAAAGGCAAAGGGGAGGGTTCCCCGCCACGCGGGAGAGGGAAGCGGCCGGCGGATCCCTCAAGTCTTGGCCCAGCAACGACCCTTCCTGCCAGCGCGTGTCAGCTTCAGCAGCCACCGTTGATGGAATCCGCGCAGCTGCCCTATCACCCCGCCCTGCACACAGCTTGACACTCCCGCCCTGACAGTGTCCGCCCTGGCCGTCGCCCTCGAGGCTCACTTGGTGACCCTCGAAGCTCTGCATTTCGCCGTCGAAGCTCTGCTGGTGGTCCTCGTGACTCAAGGAATGGGTCTTGGTGCTCTGCTTCTTGCCGTCGAAGCTCTGCCGGTGGCCCTCGAGTCTCTATTGGTGGCCCTCGAATGTGTGCTGGCTGCTCTCGGAAAGCTGGCATGGTGGGCGACAGGGTGAGGAAGCCGTCCGCGGTATAGTCGTCGTAGCCGCTGTGCTCGTCGTAGCCGTGGTAGGCGTCGTGCGCGTCATGCTCGTAGGAAGCGTGGCTGTGGTCCACCGGTTTATCTCCACGACGATGTGCTTGGTAACCCCTTCGGCCTGCTCGGTCGCGTCGCGCCTTGTCTCGTACTTTATGTTGCCGCATGGTGCGTCGCAGTTGGTGTCGTATATGGTGTCGTGCGTTGCGTTGAACATGTTCTCGTACATGGTCGCCGCGAGGGCGGCCGTGGCAATGATAGTGGTGTTGTCGGAGCGCTCTTGTACCCCAGGCCAGACGTTGTACCTCATTCGTTTTTGGGCCGCGTCTGTTCGCGCCCGTACTCTTCTATGTGTGGATGGTCTCGGCATTTTTGTCGGCTGATCTCCACCAGGGTGGGTAGGTCTCGTAGCCTTGGCTTCGGCTTATACCGAAATTTGTTACGTTGATGTTGATGATGTTCGCGTGGGTCTTACTGTACGTCAAAATCATGCTGGCTATGCTCGCGTTGATTGTAATGTAGCTTGCGTAGATCGTGAAATATCTGGTCGCGAAAGTATAGCACGGTGCGCTGTCCGCCGCGTGACGGACAGCGCGCTCGGGCCCACCCCCCCTCCAACGGGTGGTGGGATGGCCTTTCCGATCTTCCTCCTCCTCATCCTCCTCCTTTTCATCATTGTACTCCTCCTACACCCTCCGTCCCCATCCCTCTCCACCATCACCACCTGCTCCTTGCTGCTGTTGTTCATCAGCCTGCTGGCTGAGCATTGTTCTCCTCTTACTGTGTTCACCCACGCCGTTGATTCGTGGAAATATGGAAGGGGGTATTCTGACAGGTAGCTGCTGGGCGCAGTGGGTGCGCCTAGCATCGATGACAAGCATGCTGGCAGTGTGAGCTTGGCAGCGCAGTCACCAGTGGGAAGTGAACCAGCAGAGAAGGTCAAGGAGACGATCAACAGTGAGGGCCCATGCATGCAAAACGATTAGATGCCCCAAACGAGGTGGCCATCCAAGGCCGACCCGCGCAAGCCCGACCGCGGACATCGCCCGAACACCCAGATGGTGCAGGAGGAGCTGTAGAGGCGAGCACACTGTGGATCCTACTCATGAGTAGCGCTGCCCATGGCAGCACGCCCACCAGACGAAGAAGATGAAGAAGAAGTTCAATCAAGTCGCGGCGGGATAGAAACATCGGATCTGTCATCGGCAAACACACACACATAGGCAATGCGGTCGTAAGAACCTACAACGGAAACGTTACCAAATCACCATCCGCTATAAGAAGCAAGGCGGACCAACAACCGTCTCCTTGTACAGTGACCCATGGTTGTTAAGCGGAGCTGGTGATCACTGGATTGCTGAATGGCGAACTCATCATCATCTCTTCTTGCGTGGATGTGGAAGGCTGAGACGGACCACCAACACAACAGCTGGCTAATCAACTGACACGTGTAAAGCAGCATGACCAGACAAAGAAAGCGAAACGGCAACGAAGAGGCCAACAAGTTCGACAAGGTGTGACACGACAGCAGGCCGGAGAACTGAAAGCGAAGGAGTAGAAAGCAATCAGAGCCCTCTGCACTGTCACTTGGCTCCTCGGCCTCCTGAATCAAACTTCTCACCTTGGGGCCGATGTCGGCTGGTTTCGTGACCAGCTCCTTGGAAGCGGAAAGTGGAGACCGAAATGACTATCACGTAGCCTACGGCTTTAGACCCTGACTGCTGAACAACCCGCGCCTTACCAGCGTGCCTCTCCCCGTGCACTCAACAAGAAGTAGGACTGCGCAGAAGCGTCTGGCTCATGTCCTTGTCCAACACACTCTCTTAACCAACCTGAGTACATGCCTCTATAAATGCCCATGCGCTATGCATGCACCTCACGCCCCCATACCTGCTAGAATGGCTCCTGCTGGACTCATCCCATAGTTTACACACCCGAGAAATCACACTCGAATGGCAACATATCCAGGCACATCGATTCGATATCTCTGACGGTTTTTCGCGCATCATGCCGAGATTGCTCAGCCTGCCGAAGATATCAGAATGGATGTCCTGAAGCACAAGACGGCCGTCCGACTAAAAGCATTGTCCCTTGCAAGCGGAACGTTTGTCCCTAATGAAACCCACCGTGATGCAGCTGATGGCAGTCGAATCCTTTGAGAAACATAATGCAATCTTCGTCATTCGCCCAGGGATGGGCTGGTCAGAAAGATGCACCAGTTCAACACTCGCCGACCTTTAAGTACCAACATGGAGGATCCGCCCAGGAGGCTGCCCCAAGAATCATCACTTGTCATGGAGGGAAACCGGGGAAATGTCGATGTCGATCTTGGTCATCGTCCATCGTGGTCATTGTCAATTCGTGGATCGTCCTCGCGAATCGGCGACGGCCGGCGTGGACCATATTCAAGATCGGCGTTGACAAGACCCCGCGATATAGTGGTCATGGTCCTCGCGTTTCTTGACTCGACCTCACCCACCCGATCCGATCCTTGAGGTTGGGGAACCTGGGCGGCATGGCCAAAGATCTCTCCAAATTCGCCAGCTCCGGAGCCTTCTGCTGCTTGAAGAGCGCGCATGCCCTGCCGGCTCGGTCGGCGCCGAAACGGGCATTCAATTTGCAGTGTCCAGCGTCTAGGTGAAAATGGAGAGAAGGTGACAGGGGGCTCGGACGTGAACGTATGCGAGGGGAGTGCAGGACGTGGGGAAACGCGCCGACAGCCGTTGTCGCCGTCATCATCCTCATCCTCCTCATCATCCTCATCATCAGCAGCAGCAGTAGCAGCAGCAGCATCCTCAGCATCATCAGCAGCAGCATCACTATCGTCATCGTAATCGCCGTCATCATCGTCATCGTCATCGTCGTCGTCATCGTCATCGTCATCGTCATCATCATCATCATCATCATCATCATCATCATCATCATCATCATCATCATGGTGGTCGTCACCGGCATTCGATCGTCATCCAGAATATGACCTGTTCTCGCTGCGGTTACTAGGAATACGCATCGCAATCACACATAACGTAAAAAAGCAATAGAAAAAGTCGTCATAAACACCACTACCGTTACATGTTTTAAAATCAACGCGCGTATCATTACAACCACCGCCACGGTCATCGGCATACCCTCCAAACTCGATCAACAACAATGACAGCATCATCTCTCCGGATTGTTATGATAATCCTCGTCACCCTACTCCGTCTCCTTCTCATTCTACTCTCACTCCTCTTCCTCCTCCTGCTCCCCCTCATGCTGTTCCTGAGTATGCCCGTTCCCGCCCTCCTCGTCCTCCGACCCCTACTCCTGCCCCTGCTTCTGCCAACACTGCTGAAGCTGCTCATGCTGTTGCTTCTTCTCCCCATCCCATTGGCACAACTCCTTCTCCTCCTCCTCCTCCTCTTCCTCCTCCTCCTCCTTCTCCTCCTCCGCCTCCTTCTCCTTCTCCTCCTCATCCTCCTCCGCCTCCCGCTGCCATATATCGCTCAATCCCCCTTCCTCTCGGTATCGCATGGTGTCTCCCTTCCCTCTCTCGCCCCTCGGTGCTTCCCTCCCTGCTCGATGTGCGACAGCGGCGGCCCGCCCAACCCCGGCCTTGACAGCTTCTCTGTCTCCTTGGCGAAGAGCTCGACAGCGCGCGCAGTGGCCTGAACCTGCTCGCTCGTGAGGCCGCCGCCCTGTTGGGGGGACGCGCTGTGGCGCTCGACCAAAAGCCAGCCTGATCAGATTGAAGGGAACTCTTGTACATTGCTCGCCGTTCTTACTGCCTGTTCGCCCTCCCGCTACCTGCCCCTGCGGTCTAATATTTTGCCGCTCCGCACGCAATGGAATGTGCTCCTTTCGCCCCTTCTGCCGCAACCTTTCTCCATGCCGCCTTTGGCATCATGGCCAAGGTAGCACCGTCCTCCCCCCCGCCTCCTAGTCCTCATCCGTCCTGCTGGCCCCCATCCTCTCCCCACATTCTCTCTCCCACCCTGCCCCTGCTCACTCTCCATGCTGGCCTCGGGCTGGGATGATGACTCCAGGGGGCCAACTAGCTCGACAAGCTGCCTTCGAGCCGACTAGTTTGATCTCGCCTGCCTGCACTGTGCTGTCGCGTAGCTTGGGCAGGACAGCTCGACAGCGAGCACGGACCGCAGCGGTGCCAAGTACACATACACACACAAACGCACACGCACACGCACCCGCATACGCACACACACACGCTTTTTTGTTCGACCGACGTGCCCATGAATCCAAAAGGTGGGCAGTCAATTACGGGCCACGCTCATAGTCATAAAAGAGCGCGGCCGCACACGTACACACATACACACAACACACACACATACACACACACAGGTACACCCACACAAGCGCACACACACACACACACGCACGCACGCACGCACCCACACACACACAGACACGCACTTCTTGGCGGTCGCGGCCTCGCGAGCGGCGACGAGGCGAGGCAATTCGAGTGCGGCGGCCAAAACCCTGGACGGTGCGCGCGCGCTGGCTCAGAGGGGGGCAGCATATAGCCATCCGGGCGTGGAACGCGGGACGAAAAGGAAGGGCGCAGTGGCCGCCGTCCAAAGGAACGTCCCACCTGGAGGGGCACAGACACATACACGTGCACCTGTTTTTGTTGGCGGTCGCGGGCGATACTTTCGGGTTACCTCCTCCGAGATTCACGGCAGCCCTGGTCCAAGCGATGCTATAAATCTCCAGGTTAGGAGAGAACGCGGCGGAGGTTCGAGATTTCCAGGCTGCCCACGAGGGCGCCTCCGGCGAAGGAGGCGGCTCAGGCGAGTGCCGCGCCGAGGCCAATCTGGAGGCGATGGCGCCGCAGGGCGCGGCGGGCCCGTGGCGGCATGGAGGCGGTACCCCGAAGAGGGCGGCGGCAGCGGCGCGGCGCCGGCGTAGATGGCCGTCAGCGGCGCGCCAGATTGAAGGAAGGGCACGGAGCTCCACGGCACGGAGGCGGTCCGTGCACGCCACCGCGCGCGTGGCCGTGGTCGCTCGCGGACCGCCACGGGGGCAGCTCCGCGCGCTGCCTGGCCCTCCTCGCCACAAGCTGGGGCATGCATGGCCGGCCCGCCGCGCCCTCAGCGGCGCCTGCTGTCGCGGCCGCCATCTCGACGGTGGTTGCCTTCGTCTGTGGCGGCGAGGCTGGGGCAGCTGCGTCATCATCATCATCATCATCATCATCATCATCATCATCATCATCATCATCATCATCATCATCATCATCAGCATCATCAGCATCATCAGCATCATCAGCATCATCAGCATCATCAGCATCATCAGCATCATCAGCAGTACCATCATCATCAGCATCATCATTATATCATCATCAGCACCAGCATCATCATCAGCACCATCATCATCATGATCATCATCAGCAGCAACAGCAACATCATCATCATCATATCATCATCATCATCATCAACAGCATCATCAGTGCCGTCATCATCAGCATCGCCATCAACCTCATCCTCATCATCCTCGTCATCATCAGCTGCATCATCAGCATCATCAGCTGTAGCAGCTGAAGCAGCAGTAGTATTATTATCCCCATCCCGATCACCCTCACCATCACCATAACTCATCATCATTGTCATCATACTCATCATCATCATCATCATCATCATCATCATCGGCATCACCATGATCATCATCCTCAACATCATCAGCAGCATCGTCATCGGCATCACCATTATCATATTATCATCATCATCATCATTGTCGTCACCATCATTATCATCATCATTGTAGTTGTCATCGTCGTCATCGATAAATACATCATCAGCAGTAGCAGCAGCATCAGCATCAGCATCATCACCAGCACTACCATCAGCAGCAGCGTCAGAATCATGATCATCATCGACAACGTCGTCAACACAACATCAACATCGACATCAGCCATGGTGCGGCATCGCATCACCATCGTCCCCATCATCCCCATCCTCATCATAATGATCATGCTCATCATTAGCAACTGCATCAGCATCAGCATCAGCATCAACATCATCAGCATCATCAACGTCATCATCATCATCATCATCATCATCATCATCATCATCATCATCATCATCATCATCGTCATCACCATCACCGTAACAATCCTACTCCTACGTCTTCGCCTCCTCCTCCTCGCTATCACCCTCCATGTCAACATCCACATTTCCCTCATGTTCCATCCTTCCCCTCTCATCCGCGTGCTTATCCTGATTCGCCTCTTCTCCCTCCTTCCCCTAGTACTCCCACCCAAGCTGACGCCAGCGAGCACCATCAGTAGAGGACGCAAATGTGTATGGCTCCTGCTCTGGGATTGGGTGTCGGCCAGCAGCTTCCCCAGCTCTTCCAGCAATGTCTGCGCGCGCTCGTCCATGTCCCTGGATGACAGAGGGGAAACTGCAGCACGAAGAGTTGCCCCAATGCGCGCGTATGCTGCGAAAGCGAATGAAGGCCAGCCCTGCTTCCACCAGGTAAGGCTGGCAGCGGGGGAGGGACAGACACAAGCTGGAAGGTGCACAATGAAACGACAGCGCGATGCACGGATGCCAGAAACGTTTTCGATCCGCAAGATTGAAACAGCTGCAGTGGTGCTGAATCTCCAGGCTCGGACCGGCTGATTGCCAGAAGCATCCTGCATGGTAGCTGCACGGGAAAGAGAGTGCATGTAGGCATGAGCGGCACTTCCGACTTTGCTTATACATTCAAGAGCGCACATACATCGACAACCCCTCCTCCTCCACCTCCTCCTGCTCCTTCTCCTCCTCCGCCTTTTCCTCCTCCCTCCTCCTTATCATGTTCCTCCTCATCCTGTTCCTATCTCCTGTTCCTCCTCCTCCTCCTCCTCCTCCTCCTCCTCCTCCCTTTGCTCGTCGTGCTTCTGCCGTTCCTCCTCAGCTTCCCCCTCCCTCTGCTGCTCCTCCTCCTCCTGCTCCTCATCACTATCAGCATCACCATCATCATAAGCATAATAATCATCATCATCATCGTCATCATCATCATCATCATCATCATCATCACCATCATCATCAGCACCATCATCATCATCGTCATCATCATGTTCGTCGTCATCATCGTTATCATGATCACCAGCATCACCATCATCGTCATCAGCAGCAGCATCAGCGTCAGCATGAGCATCACCATCATCGTCACCATCATCATCATCGCCATCCTCGTCATCATCCTCATCCTCGTCCTTATCATCCGCATCCGCAACATGATCATCATCATCATCATCATCATCATCATCAGCTCCATCAGCATAATCATCATCATCATCATCGTCGTCATCATCCTCATCATCATCATCAGCAGCAGCACCACCATCGTATCGTTTTCATCACCATCATCATCATCAGCAGCATGAGCAGCACCAGCATCATCATCATCGCTGCATTCCTCGTCCTCATCGTCCTCATCGTCCTCATCACCATCATTCTCATCATAACCATCGGCATCATCATGCTGCTCCCCACCATCGTTATATCAGAACCATCAACACCATCATAATCAGCGCCATCAACACATCATCAGCATCAGCAGCACCAGCACCAGTACCCACATAAGCACCATCCCCATCCTCATCATCACCCTTTTCCTCATCCTCATCATCATCATCACCCGCATCAGCATCATCCTCACCATCATCTTCATGCTCGCCATCATCCTCACAATCATTACCATCAGCATCATCATGATCAGCATCATTATCATCATCCTTTTTTCCTGCAAATGAACTCGACAGCATAACCAAAACACACGATGCCCGTCCAACATCAGATCCGCTGCCCCTCATGGGGGCTATCACGGCACCCAGCTCCCCATCATCGTTATATCAGAGAGAGCGTGATCCACCGCCGCTTTACTGTGGAAAATTCCCCCCACCACCTCTTCTTCCGGAACCCGGGGGTCCCCCCCCCCTCCCCCCCTCTGAAAATCGCCCCCCTGCTGGAAACCCCCCCTCTCCCCCACCCCCCTCCCCGGCAAAACCCTTCCCCTCCCCTAACCCCTCCCCCCCCCCCCCCTCCCCCTCGAAAACCCGAAAACCGGGGGGGGTCACTACCGGTTCGAACCCGTCCCCCCCCCCTCACCGCCAGCAAACGACTCCCGGTCCCTACCACCGTCCGCACCACATCCGCCACTGTTGTTCCCAGCACCACTGCCCTCACCACCACTATCCCCACTGGTTCCACCACTGTCCCTACTGTCCCCACCAGTGCCCCCACCACTGTCGCACTGTCCCCACTGTCCCCACCACTGTTCCCACCACGGTTCCACTCTCCCCACTTTCTCCACGGCCCCAACCACTGCCCGACTATCCCCACTGTCCCCACTGTCCCACTGACTCCTCCGCTGTCCCACTGAGCTGTCCCACTGTTCCCACCACTGTCCCCACTGTTCCCACCACTGTCCCCACTGTATCTCTGTCCCATTGTCCCACCACCGCCTTCACCACTGTCCCCACCACCACTGTACCCTCCACTGTCCCACTGTTTCCACCACATTCCCATTGTCCCCACACCGCTGTCCCCACCACCACCGTCCCTACCACTGTCCCACTGTTCCCACCATTGTCCTCACCACTGTCCCCACCACTACCGTCCCCACCACTACCGTCCCCACCACTGTCTCACTGTCCCCACCACCGTCCCGCTGTCCCCTCACCACTGTCCCCACCATCACCGTCCCCACCACTTTCCGCACCCCCCCCGGGTTTTCGAGGGGGGGGGGCGGTCGAACCAGTAGTGACCCCCCCGGTTTTCCAAGGGGGGGGGGGGCTCGAACCAGTAGTGACCCCCCCCCTTTTCATGATGGACTGGGGGTGGGGGGGGAGGGGTTCGAACCGCTAGTGACCCCCCCCGGTTTTCCAGAGGGGGGGGGGGAAGGGGTTCGAACCGGTAGTGACCCCCCCCGGTTTTCCGCCAGCAGCGGTAGTACACGCTCTTTCTTATATCAGAATCATTAACACCATCATCATCATCATCATCATCATCATCATCATCATCATCATCATCATCATCATCATCATCATCATCATCATCATCATCATCATCGCCATCAACACATCATCACAATCAGCAGCACCAGCACCAATACCCACAAACGCACCACCCCCATCCTCATCACCATCCGTTTCCTCATCCTCATCATCATCACCCGCATCAGCATCATCCTCACCATCATCATGCTCGCCATCATCCTCACCATCATTATCATCATCAGCATCAGCATCAGCATCATCATCATCCGCATCATCATCGCCATCATCATAATCATCATCATCATCATCATCATCATCATCATAATCATCATCAGCGGCAGCATCATCAGCATCAGCATCACATTTTTCATCATCATCCGCATTCTCATCATCCTGATCCTCATCAGCGTCATGCTCATTAGCATCATCGTGACCATCAGCATCGTCAGAATCATCATCATCATCATCAGCAGCATCAGCAATACTATGAGCATCATCATCATGAACATGATGAGCATGATCATCATCATCAGTATCATCATTGTCAACCTCATCATCATCATTAGCTTCAACATCATCGCCATCATAAGCGTCAGCAGCTTCAGTAGCTTCAGCACCCGTATCATCATCGTCAGCATCATCGTCATCGTCATCATCCTGATCATCATCATCATACTCCGCATCCTCATTATGATCCTCATCATCATCCTCAGCATCTGCCTCCTCGTCCTCATCCTCCTCACCCGCATCCTCAACATCATCAACATCATCAGCACCTTCACCGTCATCATCACAATTAATACCATCAGCATCATCATCATCGTCAGCAGCATCAGCCTCTTCACCACCACTATAAACATCATCAGCATCATCAGCATCAGCATGAACGTCATCATCGCAATACGTATGATATTCATCATCCTTCTCATCATCCGCATCATCAGTTTCCTCATCGTCGTCATCATCCGCATCGTTATGACCATCATCAGCACCATAATCAGCATCATCGTAATGATAATCACTGAAATAATCATCAGCAGCAGCATCAGCGTCAGCATGAGCATCATTACCATTATCAGTTTCATAAAGCATCGGCATCATCCTCATTCTCATCCTCAGCATCAGCAACCTCATCATCGTCACCACCATCATCATCACCACCACCATCATCACCAGCATCTTCATCACCATCACCCAACACCATCTTCATCCTCATGATCATCGGCACCAAAAATGCCACCATCATCGTCAACAACATCATCGGCAACAACAATGCCAGCATCGCCATCAGCATCATCAACACCACCGTTATTGTCGTCATCATCATCACCATCTTCATCAACATCAACATCGTCAGCAGCATCAGCATCAGCATCAGCATCACCGTCATCAGCAAAAGCATCAGTGTCAGCATCCTGACCATCATCATCATCAGCACCATCATCATCAGCATCAGCATCAGCATCACCATCATCATCAATATCATCATCATCATCATCATCATCATCATCATCGTCATCATCGTCATCATCGTCAGCATCAGCATCGTCATCGGCATCACCATCACCATCATCATCATCATCAGTATCGTTGTCGTCATCAGTATCATCATCATCATCATCATCACCATCATCATCATCGTCGTCAGCATCATCATCATCATCTTCTTATTATTCTTCTTCATCATCATCATCATCAGCAGCATCAGCATCAGCATCAGCATCAGCATCATCATCATCATCATCATCATCATCATCATCATCATCATCATCATCATCATTATCATGCCAATTTCCTGATTCAATGCATGGATTCGCCCTCCTCCTCACTTTCTCCTGCTCGTGCGGCTGTGCGAGAGCGCCAGACCGCGTGAGTTTGAGCGTTGCCTCTGCCTGCTCGTCCTCTTCGCCTTCCTCCTCCTCATCTCCTTCGCCGTCATCCTCCTCGCCCTAATTACCGCCCTCCTCATCACCACCCCTCGCCCCCCTCCCAACCTCCTCCTCCCTCGGGTGGGGGGAGGGGAGGAACGCGACAGCAACTCCCCGCCTGCGCCTCTTCTCCTCCGCGGCCACCATGTCCTCGTGCTGCTGGCGACGCTGTCGGATCAGCTCCACCATCCGCTGGGCCTGCGCCTTCCCGCCCTCGGCCTGGGCCGCGATGCGCTCCTTCTGGGCCCCTCGCCGTGGGAGGCCGCGAGGGGCAGGGAGGGATGATGGGTGCGGACTGTAGGCCGCGTGCGCAGTGACGTACGCGGAGGGGCGCGCAAACGCTTGCCATGCGGGACGTGCCCACCAAAGCGATGGGTCACCCAGAAACTCACACGATCCTTCCCAACAAAAAACAAACAAGCACCCACACACGCACACCCACACGCACACGCACACACAGACACACACTCCCCCACACCACTCACACACACACACGAGTTATCCGAGAGGTAGCCAACCCCTTCTCCACGCAGGTTGTCTATTGAAAGTGGTGCTCTTCATAAGCGAACGCATTGAGAGATATGCCGCACCTTTGCGCACGAAAATGCCGGCAATTGTGCAATTGGCAGCCTCGCTAGGAGCCGCGATGTCTCCTCTGGGTTCGCGTGCCCCCCGCCTCCGTTGGACCTCCTAGGAGCCAACGAACGTGGGTGGCGACAGTTGCGCAATGCGCAGCCACCCAGGGAGCAACGAGGTCTCGTCTGGGTCCCCCAAATCCGCTGGACCTCCCAGGCGCCCACGACAGTGGCGACTGTTGCGCAGCTCGCAGCCACCCAGGGAGCAGCAGGATTTTTCTCATGAAAAACGATCAAGCGCGGACCCCACCTCACACGCCCGACAAACTGGGGGCCCCGGCCCGATTGCACCGGTGCAATCGCGAGGACTTTCATTTGCACGCGCTGCACGAGAGGGCCGAACGCCACAGCACACGTCCCGCACGACAGGAAAGGGGGCAAGGAGGAGGCGGAGGAGGAGGGATGACAAGGACAAGGAAGAAGACTGCCATCGCCAAACAAACAGGGAACGACGCTAGAACGCACAGACGAGAATGGCAATTGCCGCGGGGCTGCTCTGCCACTCCGAATCGCGATTCAAACCTTGCAAAACCTCGAGAAAATAATCGTGCCGCTTGGGGGCCTGGCAAAGAAACGGCATGATTATTTCCTGTGCTTTCCACACGGAATGGCCCTCCAGGCCGCTCCCGCGGGGTTCCGCTGGGGGGTGGGAAAGGCATGACGGGAAACAGACCCAGACACTCCCGCACCAGGAGCCTCGAGTGGGAGGAGGGGGAGGAGGAGGAAGTCGCTGCGCTGGACGCGGGGGGAGAGCACGCTGGGCGTGGACGCGGCCGCGGGGTGTGGGCCACCAGGCCCCGCCGTTAGGCGCGCGCGCCCAAGCCATAACAAAGATAAAAGGGGAAGCCGAGGCGGAGGGCGAGAGGAGGGAGAGAAGGCAGAGGAGGGAGGACAGAAGAGGGCGTGCACTGCCTGAGCTAAGAGGGCGTGCACTGCCTGAGCTAAACGGTGCGCGTGAGATGCGGCTCAGTGGAGAGCACCTCGGTCCGCCTGGCGCGAATCACTGCCAGGTGGGCTCCCCCGCCGGCGCTTCGTCGGCACCGGCGAGGTAGTCGCCCAGGGCGCCCCAGGCAGCGCGCTGGCCCCCCGCCTCGTCGCCGACCAGCCCGTGGACGACCCAGGAGAGGAGGTGGAGATCACAGTGCTCTGTGAAAACGATGACCCAACCACGGGAGGGCTGGGGAAAAACAATCAAACCAATAACCTGAGATGTACCGTACCCAACCTCGGAGGTGTCATGTGGGCAAGCGCCATGTGGGCACCATGCACTCAGCCGTGCCTCCCAGGAGCCAACGAAAGGGGACGACAATTGCTTAATTCGCATACCCCGAGGGAGCCGCGAGGTCTCAAATCATCTGCGCTGCCCTGCACTCCGCCGTGCCTCCCAGGAGCCCACGAAAGTGGCGAGAGCTGCGCAGTTCGCAGCCCCTGGGGGAGCGGCGTGGTCCCAAATGATTTGCGCTGCCCTTCACTCCGCCGCGCCTCCCAGTAGCCCACCCAAATGGCAACAGTTGCAAAGTTCGCAGCCCGCGAGGAAGCCGCGAGATCTAAAATGATCTGCGCTGCCCTGAACTCAGCCGTGCCAACCGAAGTGGCGACAACGGCGCAGTTCGCAGCCCAAAAGGGAGCCGCAAGGTCTCAAATCATCTGCGCTGCAATGCTCTCAGCTGTGCCTCCCAGGCGCCACCGAAAATAGCGACAATTGCGCACCTCGCAGCTCCCTGGGGAACCACGAGGTCTCGCATCCCCTGCGCTGCCCTCACCTCCGCCGTGCATCCAAGGAGCCCCCGAAAGTGGCGACAAATACACAATTCGCATCCCCCGAAGGAGACGCGAGGTCTCAAATCATCTGCGCTGCCCTCACCTCCGCCGTGCCTCCCAGGAGCCCACGGGAGTGGCGACAGTTGCGCGGTTCGCAGCCCCCAACGGAGGCGCGAAGTCTCAAACGATCTGCGCTGCCCTCCCCTCCGCCGTGCCTCCCAGGAGCCAACGAAAGAGGCGACAGTTGTGCAGCTCGCAACTCCCGAGGAAGCCGCGAGGTGTCAAATCATCTGCGCTGCACTCACCTCCGCCGGTCCTCCTGGGAGCCCACGAGAGTGGCGAGCAAGGAGGCAGGAGGCAGGAAAAGGGAGGAGGCGGGAGGAGGGAAGGAAGGAGACGCGCGAGCAGCGCTCTGTTGAAAACGAAAGCCCAACACGGGAGGCTGGGAATGATAACAACGAGGATAATAAGAAGAGGGGGAGAAAAGGGGGGAATGAAGAGTAGAAGGTTGGCCGGTTGACAGCGCCCAAGATTTGGACGCCCGAAATGGGTACGGAAAAAATGTGTACAATGCCGAACACCAAATGTTGTCCCAAACCAACAGCGGCCGCTGTTGGGCAGGCGGCCTTCTGCCTCAAATGGTCACAAGCCGCGGAGGCGCGGACAGCGAGTCCTGTTCAAAATGAACAGGAACTGCTGTTGGGCATTGTACCCATTCTTTTCGTACCCATTTCGGGCGTGCCGACAAGAAGCCCACGACGCCTCAATCATGGACTTCCCGCCTCTTCTGGGGGTTGGCGGAATTACGCAAGACTCTTAAATCATGAGGAGAAGAAGAAGAAACAGCGGGGGAAAAGGGAGGGGAAATGGAGAGCATAAGGTTGGCCAGCTGGTAGTGCCCAAGAAGCTCACGACGCCTCCACCGTGGACTCCCCAACTCATCTGGAATGATGAAAAAACAAGCAGAAGAAAAATAACAAGAAGAGAGGAACAATCCGCATGGGGGAAGCGGGTCCTGAGGGAAACGGGTCCTGGACCCTGGGGCCTTCCCCAACACGAGTTCTTCATCCTGAACCGTTTTCTGACAGTCCCGGGGCCCGTGGAGGACCCCGAGAGCACGAAAAAAAACAACGAGAAACCTCAGGACCCGTTTCCCTCAGGACCCGTTTCCCCAATGGCGAGAAGACGAGGAAGCGTGGGAAAAACGAGGGGAAATGGATAGCAGAAGGTTGGCCGGTGGATGTGCTGCCGTGGAGGTGGCACGTGAAGATGCGGGCGCAGCCTTGCTTTCGCAGGGGGAGCCGCGGCCTGGCGAGGGCTCTGAGAGCGAGAGCGCTGCGGCGGCTCTGCAGGTCAACACGCCTGCGCTATAAGGGGTGAAGGGGAGAGGGAACTAGGGGGGAGGGAAGGAAGGGGGGACAGAGAAGGGAAGGGAAACATGGGGGGAAGGGAGAGAGAGAGAGAGAGAGAGAGAGAGAAAAAAACAAAAAACAAAAAAAGGGAAGGGAACCAGGAGGGAATGGGGGAGAGAAGAAAGGGGGGAGAGAGAAAGGAAGGGAAGGGGAGGACGGGGTGAGGGAAGGAAGGGGGAAGGGGGAACCAGGAGGGAAAATGGAAGCGAGGGAGAAGGGAAATGGAGAAAGAGAGAGAGAGAGAGAGAGGAGGGCCGGGAAGGCAAGCGGGAGCGAAGCTGCCAAACGATTCCGGGTACATGGAGCCAGGCGAAGGGGAAATTCGGAGGCACAGGGGCTGAACTGGCCCAATCAGCTGCGCCTCGCCAGTGTCCGCCCCGCCTCTACATCTTCCAAGGTCTGACCTAGCTAGAGCAACGCTTCCGAGAACAAGCAATCGCAAGCAGATCGCATGGGACGATCGTCCCCAGACAGCCCGCGGATCCCCCAAACCCGCCCCGGTCCGGGCCACCCGAGCCCTGAGACCACCCAAGGAGCCCCTCGCCACCGCCATGAGGATTGTAGCACGCTCTGGGCCTCTGAGCCATATACACACGTACGTTTGACACCATAAGTGCGCGCGCACCTCTGTACAAGTGCGCCTTGTGCGTGCGCATACACAGAGTGGCACATGCACGCGCATGCACCGCATGCACTTTCCGCGCCCGCGCACACTCAAGCGCCATTGCCAGCAAAGGCCAGCCTGGGAGAGAGCAAACTATGGCCTTGCGTAGCAAAGCAGCATGCTGCCATCACCAGCCGCCACCACCAGTCGCCACCACTCATGCCACGCATCCCTACATATTTACAGATGATATAAACAACGATGGGAGACATAAGACGTCGGCTCATCCGCGTGGCAAGACAGAACGCCTGTATTCTGCAACTCTTTCTCCAACACTTCGTCCAACTCCTTACAAAGTGTGCAGCAACCAACGCAATGACAGAAACATGAGATGGTGACAACGGCGAAGAGCGAAGGAAAATCATGACGACGATGGTCTGGACAAGCGGAGGGAGAGAGAAGAGACGGGAAGACCTAGGGGAGAAGGAGCGAGGAGCTGGGATGGGGAGGAGGGAGGACGAATATACAACAGGGTGGGGAGTAGTGAAGAGGCACAGGAGCTGCAAAGAGAAAGGCCAGGAGAAGGATCTGCACACGGCTAGTGAAAATGATTTTTTCCTCCCGCAAACACCCACCAATTTCAGCATCTGCTCAGATACCGTAGCACGGCTAGTGAAAAGGACTTGATACGAAACGCATGCAGGTAACCAAGGGAATCGCCCACCCCGATCGTAGTCTCTTCAATTTCGGCTCCAATACCATGCGTACAGAGCCTCTTGCATGTCCTTCTCTATTGGTGTGCGTATGGGGACGTTCCAACGGTCCTGGACTACGCAATCATGCCACCCAGGAACGCATCAGCATTCAGGGCGTGGGAAGGGGAACTCTGGTTCGGCCGAGCTGAGGTGTGGTGTATCTTGGCTTAGGGCGCTTTACATGTCGTTGCGGGGTGGAGAAGGGAGACACCACACGTTCATATAAGAGCTGGCTGGCGCCCTATGGTCAGCACTCGTGTTGGTTCACACATGCTGTACCTGGAGCCAGAGCAACGCGAGCAGAACGGATAGGTGAGCGCGCACACACAACTACACACACATCACTTAGGGCGCGGGTAGCCCTGACCAGACTGACATGACCAAGGGGAGCAGATGGATCTGGGCGTGGTCAGGCGCCCTGGTGTCAGGCACGGGTGGGGACTTCACTCTCTTAGTCTGCTTCTCCCCCCGCTGGCGCTCTCCTGGCATAGAGCCTCAACATTCTCAAAAGAGACAACGCCCCGCGTTCGTTCTTTCCTTCCTCCTCTCCTCCTCCTGCCTTCCCTCCTCCCTCCTCCCCTCCCTGCCTCTGCTCTCCGCATGCCCATCCCATGTCGCACACCCCTCATCCGCTTCGTGGCCCCATAGGGAGCTCCACCGAAGGCCCCCGTGGCCGCGATCGCATGCCACCACCGCGCCCATGTCGGCACAACCCTCCCACGCTTCGTGGCCCTATAGGGAGCTCCGCCGAAGGCCGAAGTCGCTGCGCTCGCATGGCACCACCGCGCCCATTTCAGCACACCCCTTACGCGCTTCGTGGCCCCATAGGGAGCTCCACCGAAGACACCAATGGCTGCGCTCGCATGGCACCACTGCACCCATTTCGGCACACCCTCCCACGTTTCGTGGCCCTATAGTATAGGGAGCTCCGCCGAAGGCCGAAGTCGCTGCGCTCGCATGCCACCACCGACTTATGTTGGCACACCCATCACACGCTTCGTGGCCTCATAGAGAGCTCCACCAAAGGCCCCAAGTGGCTTCGCTCGCATGCCACCACCGCACCGATTTCGGCACACCGCTCACACGTTTCGTTGCCCCAACAGGAGCTCCACCGAAGGCCCCAATGGCTTCGCTCGCATGCCACCACCACAACAAGTCGCACTTCCCTCGAACGTTTCGTGGCCCCATAGGGAGCTGCTCCGAAGGCCCCAAGTGGCTTCGCTCGCATGGCACCACCGCACCCATTTCGGAACACCGCTCACACGCTTTCGTTGCCCTATAGGGAGCTCCGCCGAGGGCCCCAATGGTTGCGCTCGCATGCCACCACCGCGCCCATGTCGGCACACACCTTGCTCGTTTCGTGGCCCCAAATGGAACTCCACCGAAGGCCCCAATTTCTGCGCTCGCATGCCACCACCGACTTATGTTGGCGCACCATTCACACGTTTCGTGGCCCCATAGGGAGCTCCACCGAAGGCCCCAATGGCTGCGCACGCATGGTTATCGCGGCCTAATATCGGCACACCCCTCACGCGCTTCGGTGCCCCAAGGGCGCTCCACCGAAGTCCCCAGTGGACCCTGTTGCTGGCTCCCCTCCTTCATCTCATTTTCCTTGCGATGCTCGACGGCCACAGTGGCAGCGCCCGCGTGGCGGCCCCGCCACAGTCCGGCACACCCTTCACGTGCTTCGTGGCCCCATACGGAGATCCACCGAAGGCGATACTCACTCCGACGGTACACACAACTGCATATGGTTGGGTCCTTCGCCAAGATAATTTGTTTCTCCCCCCGCTGGCGCTCTCCTGGCATAGAGCCTCAAAATTCTCAACTGAAGCAGTCCGGAGCTTGTTGACCGCACTCATGATGGCCATTGTAGCTTTGTCGACCGCCCTCTTTTTGGCCATCTGAGGGAGCGATACAAGAACGATAAGCAACGAAGAAGGAGGCAACAGGAGGGATACGGGCAGTGGGAAGCATGTCAGGGCGGAAGCGAGATATGTAAAAGGGCGGGAACGGTGAGCACAGGAGAAGAGCATGATGGCATCATTGCGACCGCCGAGCATTACTGTTTGGCGAGAGCGGCGCGAGACAGACCAGCACAATCATGAGGCGCAGCATGCGACAATTCTGACAAGAGAGCTGACTCGAAGCAGACCACAATTCGATGTGCCAGGTTTCCCCTCGCCCGCCCCCATGCCCTCCTCGCCGCACCCTCCCTAAATCCCATCTCATCCCAACCATCAAGCTTGACTCGGGCTGGGGATTTGTACGCAAGATTGGCGCACCGATTCTTGGAATGACTTCGCCACGAAAACAAATATAATAGCTTCCCTCCCTTCCATCCTCCCTCGGCCGCCTTCCTCTCCCGTGCGGTGCACGTCGTCAGGCAACCAACGCTGAACGAGGCCAAGGGACCAACACTCTGATGCACCCTGCTACTTCCCGACCGCCACATCTCCCCCCCCCCCAACGCCACCTCCCTCACCCTGCCTCATCCTCACCCTCTCCGCCTCCAGCACTCTCTTCCCTCCCTCGTTGCCTCTCGCCCTCCCCCCCACATCTATCCCATCCCCTCCCAGGTCCTCTCCTCCCCCTCCCCTCTCCCTGTGACGCAGCGGAACGTGGAGTCCCGCCAGAGGACAAGGGGGAAATCACACATCCCCGTCCTCATGCCCAGACATCCGACGCTAGGCGGTGCGCGGCCCCAAGGGTCCAGACCCATTCCCCGGGGGTAGTTCGTCGCCCTAGGCTCGTTGCTTTGGTGGCCCCTGTGGCCCGACCACGCGCCCAAGAGGCCGAAATTCAGGGAATACAGTCGGCGCTGATTAGAAGCTCCCAATAGGGCCACGAAACGTGTGAGAGTGTGCCACAATGGGCGCGGCGCATACGAACGCAGCCACTGAGGCCGTCGGTGGGGCTCCCTATGGGACCGTGGAACGTGTGAGGGGTGTGCCAAAGTGGGTGCGGTGGGCGCATGCGAACGCAACCACTGGGGCCGTCGGTGGAGTTCCCCATGGGGCCGCGAAACGTGTGGGGATGTGCCAGAATGGGTGCGGCGGGCGCATGCGAACACAGCCACTGGGGCCGTCGGTGGGGCTCCCTATGGGGACACAAAGCGTGTGAGGGGTGTGCCACAAATGTGGTCAGTGGGCGCATGCGAACACAGCCACTAGGGCGTGTGAGGGGTGTGCCAAAATGGGCGCGGTGGGCGCATGCAAACGCTGGCATGTGAACATTGGGTGGGGCTCCCTGTGGGGCCACGAAACGAATGCGGGGAGTGCCAGGATGAGCGCGGTGGGCGCATGCTAACGCAGCCACTGGGGCCGTCGGTGGGGCTCCCTGTGGGGCCACGAAACGTGTGAGGGGTGTACCGACACGGGTGCGTTGGGCGCATGCGCACGCAGCCACTGGCGCCTCCTTCGGGGGAGATCCCTATGGGGCTACGAAGCGTGTGATGGGTGTGCGAACGCAACCACTGGGGCCGTCGGTGGAGCTCCCTATGTGGCCACGAAACGCGTGAGGGGTGTGCCGACATGGGCGCGGTGGTGCCATGCGAACGCAGCCAGTGGGGCCGTCGGTGGAGCTCCCTGTGGGGCCACGAAGCGTGCGAGGGGTGTACCAACATGGGTGCGGTGGGCGCATGCGAACGCTGGCATGTGGACCTTCGGTGGGGCTCCCTGTGGAGCCGCGAAGCGTAGGAGTGGTGTGCCGAAAAATGTACATGCGGAGGGCAGAGGCAAGGATGGGGAGGAGGGAGGAGAAGAGGGGGAGGGAGGGAGGTGAGGTGACGCGGGAACTGTCTGTTCATTAGCCTCGTGAAGGACCCAATCGTATGCAGTTGCGAACACCCTCGTTGTATGCACCGCATTCGGGCCACGAACCATGCTAGAGGTGTGCCACACTGAGCGCGCTGGGCGCTTGCGAACGCAACCACTGGGGCCGTCGGTGGAACTCCCTATGGGGCCACGAAGCGCGTGAGGGGTGTGCCAGCATGGGTGCGGTGGGCGCATGCTAACGCAGCCACTGAGGCTCGGTGGAGCTCCCTCTGGTGCCACGAAACGTGTGAGGGGGTATGGCAAAATGGGTGCGGTGGGCGCATGTGAACGCAGCCAGTGGGGCCGCCGGTGGAGCTGGGCCACGAAGCCTGTGAGGGGGTCCCAAAAGTGGTGCCGTGTGCGCATGCGAGCGCAGCAATTTAGGCCATCGGTGCAGCCCCTAAGAGGCCACGAAACGTGTGAGGGGTGTTGCCGCGGTGGGCGCATGCGAACGCAGCCGTTTGGGCCCTCGGTGGAGCTCCCTGTAGAGCCACCAAGCGTATGAGGGGTGTGCCAAAGTGGTTGCGATGGGCGCATGCGAACGCAGCCGAGGCCGTCGATGGAGCTCCATATGGGGCCTCGAAGCGTGTGAGGGGTGTGCCGACATGGGTGCTGTGGTGCCTTACGAACGCAGCCACTGGGGCCATGGGTGGAGTTCCCCATGGAGCCACGAAACGTGTGAGGGGTGTGCCAGAATGGGTGCGGCGGGCGCATGCGAACGCAGCCACTGGGGCCCTCAGTGGAACTCCCTGTGGGGCCACGAAACGTGTGAGGGTGTGCCAAACTGGGTGCGGTAGGCGCATGCGAACGCTGGCATTTGGGCCTTCGGTGGAGCTCCCTATGTGGCCACGAAACGAGTGAGGGGCGTGTGCCGACACAGAAACATGCGGAGAGCAGAAGCAAGGATGGGAGAGGAGGGAGGACGGGGAGGAGGGCGGGTGGTGAGATGACGCGGGGCGCTGCCTCTTCGAAACGAAGACCCAACCCCACAGGATGGTTGGGAACAACGGCGACCCAACACCACAAGATGTATGGTAAATACCAATGGTTTGTTTCAAAACGTCGACCCCCATAGGTCTCGATCCATTCCCCGGTATCGTTTTTCCGTCCTGAATATGTTTTTGACGGTCCCGAGGCCCGGTAAGGGCCCCCAGAGGCTGAAAACAGCGAGAACCCCCGTCGTGATTTTTGATTTGAGGGCCCTCCCTTTGACTGTCAGCCACTCATGACCCTCGAGCTCGGTCTTTCAGGGCACGGCTGGCAGGTGCAAAGGGCCTCCAGCTCTCGGGCCCTTCTGAGCTCGTCCTGCCTCCTCCTCTCGGCCAACTGGGCTGCCTGCGCGCGGGCAGAGCACAGGAGAGAGTCATGCGCGAGGGCTGTCGGGGTGTGCTAGACGAGTTGGCAGCTCAGGCACTGGCTGACAATCAAGGAGCACTGCTGGCCTTCGTCACCATTATTCGACGTTGCGACCATGGGGGGGACGCAGAGAGGGCGGGCCGCCTCAGAAGGCTCAGAAGGCCTTGGGCCTTCTGACAAGCTGTCCGAGCCTTCTCCGAAGATACATACGGCTTCTCAGAAGGCCGAAGGCCTTCTGAAACGCCCCGCGGCCTGAGACGGCCAGCCCCCTCTCACTTCCTCCCAGGGGGCGCCGCCGAATTATGTTTGTTTCGCGACGGTGCAAGTGTACAAGGTCGGACAAGGTGATTCGTGCAAGCGTTCGTCACGATACAATTCGGCAGACCAGCAGCAACAGGGCTGTAAGCCAAAAGGTGCGGCAGAAACCCTGCTACTAGCATCAACGAGGGCACCGAGATAAAATACGCGTCATCTAGAGTTCGTGGTCGCCGCCATGAATGGCATGTGGTGGTGGGCAGGACCTCCAGATGGCACCTGTTTTCTCTGGCTGACTGTGGCACTGTTTGGTTCGAAAGTGACGTTTGTTTTGCAACCGACGCGGCCTGATCACTGCTCCTCTGAAAGAAAACAAATGCGACAAATGCCTACTGGGAGAGCGCTGGCAAACATGACTGCAGTGTCTCATATACCATGTGACACAATGTTGAGACAGAGTATTTGCACTGGCTTGCTGGGTAAGAGGCGAACGTGAAGCAGGTCGCGACACTCACGCTGCAATAGGATGGCCATACTTCCCTCGACGATCCACAACTGTTGCATTCGTATCGAAACAAGCCATACAACGATGCACACATGACGGGCGTGTGAAGAAAGCACGCGCTGTTGGCAACACTGCACAGAGGTCGGTCATCAGTTTGAACTCGCGAACACCAGGAGATTCCGCGTCAACTCAATTTACGCATGGCCGACTGTTCGAGATGCTTACGATTGGTGCTTAACCGGATGGAGACCGAAACGCTTCGACGAATTGTCTGGCCCACAGACGTTGGGTTTGGGAGCTACGTCTCAAGTCGGGCTCTGGCGCCAACAAAACACAACCCATAGTCTCCGTAACCTCGAACACCTCAGACTAGCCGCAGCTCCACAGGAAGCTGGCCGCCCCCCCTCCGCGTACTGTCTTTTCACATACAGGATTGGGCAAAGGTGGTATTTCCGATGTCTTTTTCCCACTCGGGCCGTCTTCTTCCGTTACGAGGGAGCGCTCTCGCCTCGGCGCCCGCCGCACTCCTGCCCCCTCTACCATTACCCAATATGAATACTCCCCTCCCCTTTCCAGTCCGCGCGGAAGCTCCGAGCCCTCGTCGCCCCCCGGCGGCGCCCGCCGACGCCCGCGAGCCCGCGGCCCCCACGGCGCCAGGGCGGACTGCCGAACCCCAGCGCCAGCGCGACCGACAGCAGCCGTCGTCGTCGTCGCTGTCGTCGTCGCCGCCGTCGTCGTCGTCGCCGTCGTCGTCGCCGTCGTCGTCGTCGCCGCGGTGGTCGTCGTCGTCGTCGTCGTCGTCGTCTCATCCTTTGTCCTCATCCTCCTCCTCCTCCTCCTCCTCCTCGTCGTCGTCGTCCTCCCCCTCCTCTTCCCATTCCTCCTCCTCCTTTCCCCCCAGGCATGAAGGGCAAATGCGGCACCCGATTCGGCGAGAGGACAAATAATCTGCGCAATGGGAAGGGATGGGAAGGAAGGGTCGGATGTCAGATGTGGCGCGAGCGCACCTAGCTTGCCGTTTTCCCCTCGCCCCTTTCCCTCCCCCCCCCTCCCTATGCCCTCCCCTCGTCCCCTTCCCGTCTGGGTCCCCTCGGCCTACACGCCCGCGATCGTGCAACATGCCCACATTAAGATCGCGCACGGGGCCCCGAACACTCCACTTACGATTTGTCATGGGGCCCATTAAAAATCGGATCACTGCGCGTGCGTGGTGAGAAAAACATAAGAAGTGACGCCAATAATTTAGACACAGAAGAACTAGCTGTCATGAAATTGGATTCGAATTAACGATATGATGCTCTTGGCAAGCGGCAACGTATATCACCAGCGTATTATCTCCATTACTCGTGTTGCTATTGCGCAGTGATGGGGCCTCGACCCCCGCCTCGGGTGACGCGCATGGATTGCAACCTTGCGGAATCGAGGCCGTGCCTCACTTGGATGTAGTTTATACGCACTCAACGCTGGACTAAATGACTTCTCCTTATCCCAATCGCCTCATAACTGCATCGCCATTTTCATCAACATTTTATGGAATGATGCGTTGATGGGAAATTATACGAGGATGTGGGAGCAGATGAAAAGAACTCGGGGCCACGTGGGAACCTCTCGGGACCACTTAGATCCAGGGAGAGGCCCCGAACACCCCAATTAATTATACCAACTAACGAGAGGCAGCGATCAGCATGAGGTTCTGTTTCAGTGAAAGAGGAACTGTTGTATCATGTAGTACGAGACGGTCTGACATAAAATGATATGATATGAGACGATGTGATATTTGATGGCATGCCATGGTATGTCTACTGCAACATGCAATTGCGTATCGCGCATGAGCGTGCTCGGGCGCGCCATTGGGGGGCAATGCAATCGCCTGGGGCCTCGAAAAAGACCCCTCGGGCGACGCGTATGCTTTGCAGGCTTGGATGGGGAAGGGAACGTGAGGAGGAGAGCTAGGTGCCTCTTGGTTGCCACTTCTGTTTAATGGGAGGCCCCGAGCACATGATTTAATTTTACCGACTATCAACAGAAAGCCAGCAACATTTTTATTGAAACCGATTAGCGACCACATCGAAATACCAAAGCTCAAAAATACTGACGAAACTGAATAATAATAGGCTCGCCAGGGGGGCGCTCCGAGACCGCTGGGGGCAGCGCGGGGCGCCCGGGGCGCGAGGGCGAGGCTCGCCCGCCGCGGGCGCCATGACGCCATCCCACGTCGCGAGGTCCCGGGGCATGGCTCGACCATGGGACGAGGCGGGCGCGGCGCGCGAGGCGCAGCGCGCGAGCTCCCGGCACCGCTCTGGGAGGTGCGCTCTGGCCAGGGTCGCGCGCCACGTCCGGCCTTTCGAGGGATGGCTGACTTTGCCTTGCAGGACCACCCGATGGGGAGCGCAGCGCTGGCACCTGCGGCCGAGCTGCTCGAGGCCGGGCAGCGTGCCCGCGACGGCCTCGGGCTTCTGGAAGGGGGCCCCGAAACGGCAGGAGTCGTGAACCACCTCCCCGGGCGAGCGCTTCCGGAGCTCCTTCTCCAGACGCGGCCGGCGCCAGACCTGGCTCGGAGCCGGGTTCGAGAATCACGAACGCGATGAGTGTCTGGTTGAGCTCGAGCACCCCCGCGGCGAAGTTGACGAGGACAAGATCGGCAGGCCGAGGAGGGCGATTGCCCGCGGCAGCCACCCAGTGGGCGCGCGGCAGACCGAGATGGGCACACCAAAAACTGCGCTGCGCGATCCAATCCAAGACAGTTAAGGACTCCAGGATGAGACAGATCACGACGCTCCCCTTTCACGACTTCAAGGGGGCAGGCGATGCGACGCCCGGCCGCAGCTCGCAGGCGCTGCGATGGCAGCCCCCAATATGACTCACCATTGCGCGACGAACCTCTCCCTTCCCCCGAGCCAGCCCAGGAGTCTGGCAACCGAGTCGCATCGCCGCCCCCATCACCATGACGCGCCCCGTGCTCAGGTACCTGGCCCAGCCCCCCTCCCGCAAAACATTGGCGACGTCGAGCCCAGGGCGCGCGCCGCAGCTAGCACCTGGGTCTTGCGAACCAGCGCCATGCGGAACATCGGCGACGCTGCGCCCGGGGCGCGCGCCGAAGCTAGCACCTGGGACTTGCGCTCTAACACCTGAGGCTTAGACTTGATTTTGACAATGCGCACGCTGCGCGTCACCTTGCGCTGCTGGTTCCGCAATGGGCATGGCTGTCACTGCCGAGGCTTGGACGGGGTAGCTTGCGACGACGGCAATCCTGACGACGTTCTCGAGGTAAGTCCAACTGCGTCTCGAACAAGCCCGAGGTGACCAGCGCCACTGTCAGCTGCAGCATCAGGCACAGATGGCGGTTGCTGCACGATATGAGGGGTCCGAGGGATGGGCGGCAGAACTCCTGCGCACATGCCCAGCTGCAGGTGCGACGCGCATCGCTTGACACCGCCGCCGGCAACTCTTGCAGATGCACCCTCCCCGCGGCGCCTGGCGCTCGCCTCCTCGAACGCTTTGGGCTGGCGCTCGTGGCGGGCCCATATATTGCTCGAGCTGGTCGCGCTGCCTCTCGCCCACGACTTTGCCCAACCATTCCGCTTGCTCTTCTGCTCCCAGCATCTCATCCACCATTCGCGTGTCAGTTGACGGCGGCGTTGGTGGGTTCGGGGTTGTGAAATACCTTCCACTGATACGCACGTACTCGTCATGGTCCATCCGATCGCGCCTCTCCTGCTCCTGCTGCCGTTTTCACCTCATCCTGGTACTGACGGATTTCTCGCTCAAAATTGCTGCCAATCGGTATACCAGATATGTTCCCATGCAACTCGTATGGGTCTTCTGAGACTGGCTGCCACCCTGTTCGTTGAGGCCCATCAGGTAACGGAGCCGTCTTCTGCCTCTGCATCTGCGCGATCTCCTCCTCGTAGAAGCGCTGGCGCCTACCTGCCTCGCGCACCGTCGTCACCGCCCGAGGCCCATCGTGATCCGCCCCCTCCCTTTGGACAGCTAGCTGCATCCAAGCTGCCTGGCACTCCGCCCGCCGCAGGATGCGGAAATTCGCGGCCTTCACCTGCTGCTCCGATAGCTTATGGCGCGATGCCGCTTCCTCAATCAACTTCGCGCGGGCCTCCTCTCTGAGAAACAGATGGCGACAAGCCTCGGCGCCCCGCCTCTCGTCGGCAACTGTTCTGGCGAGGGCGATCCCGACGTTGGCGGCTGCCTGCTCGACGACCCCCCCCAGAACCCGATCGGCCCTCGGAACGCCTTGCGCCGCTGTTGCCGCTCCGAGCTGGCCCGATGCAACGCGGCCGCCGCCTTCTGAGCCTTCAGCCACTGCTCATGCTGAACTGCCCTCGCCTGCTCCATCGCCTGCAGATCGGGAGCGCCCTTCCCTGCCCCTTTAGCCGCCGCCGCCGCCCTTGAACTTGACCTCGCAATCGGCGTCGCTGGCGGCCCTGGGCTGCCTGCCTCCAAGATGCCGGCGGCCGCCGCGTCCTGCGCGGAGCGGTCGCGTGGCTGCGGATGCCTTTGGGGGGGTCTCAGGGCGCTCAGAGAGCTGCCCCCCCGCCCCCCCCCCCGGCCAGCGCGCGGCCCCCCGTGGCCGTCGCGCCCCGCCCACGCTACCCCACAAGTAGCAGCGCGCTCTCCACGTGCCGCGCCAGCGGCGGCCCCTGCGCAGGAGCCCGCGGCGCTCAGAGGGGCCACGGCCTGCGCGACGGCCACATCAGCCGAACCAACACCCAGAAGAGGCCCTGGAGAATGAGCAGGAGGCGGCCGTAGTTCAGAAGCGCGCGGCGTCGCGGCACGCGGCAAGCTTGACGGCGCCGCGGTCGACGGCGGTGGCGGCACGGCAAAGGAATGGCCTGACCTCTGGGGGCAACTGCCGCGTAGCCCGAGCACCCTCGCAACATCTGCCTTCGATAGCTGCCCATCGTAGTCATCCTTCACCACCTGCGGCGAGAGCCTCGATGGTGATCCCTCTGGTGACCTGCGAATAGTACGCGGTGCCGACACTATCGCAATCGGATTCCCACGAGGAGGAGGCGAGGACAAACGTCGAGCATCCTCCTGTCTGGATTAAGACCCCAAGTGCTGTACAATCCCACGGCCACGTGGAGGAGCTAAAGCTCGGCCTTGAACGGCTAGCAGAGACGCCTGACAACGTAGACGCATTCCGTCAACAGTCGGGGTCAACTGGCGCGCGTCTAGTCGATCTCGCCCAGCTGGGGGCGGTGGCGGTGGCGGCGGTGGTGGTGGTGGCTGCTCCTCCTCCACACCTGAACATCCAGAACTCTTGGACCTGTGTGCCGCCAGCTCCATTCGTCGACCGTGGCCAACACCATCGTCACAAGTACTGCCCGTCACATCTCGCCCCATCGCCACAACTTCACGGAAGAGGTCGTGACGGTCGTCGTGCAATGTTCGGTGATACCAGGTGCCATCCATGATAATACGCTGCTTCTTCTCTAGTGGCGCAATCTTCTCCGCTGCATTCACCATGCCCGTCTTTGCCTCTGCCCGCTGGACTGGAAGAGGCTTCAGCTGCCAGCGTATCCACTTGAGAACGCTCCGCCCGTGTTCCTGCGCCGCCATGTAAGAGCCCGCCTTGTTTCCTTGAACTAACAACTCGGCCAGCCTCGCTATGCGATCTTCAACCATATGCTTGTGTTGCTTCGTTTCCCTGTTGTCGGGGGCGGTTTGTACGTAGGGTGCTTGAGGGCGTACGTCTGGGGTGACATCATATGAGCGTCCAGAGCTGCTTTTACCTCCGATCTGAATGTGGACTTTCTCGGCGCCTATCATCCGCTTGACGCTGCTGGAACTTCCCGTACGTCATACTACACTTGCGCCATTTTCTTTTTTCACGTACAGAATCCTTGCAGCTCCAACTACCAACTTCATTGTAGGCCTGACACTCTGAACAAGTCCAGCTACCAGTGCTTTTCGACGCCATACTGCTATGATGGTTCTTCAGGATGCTGCGGGCCGCGTGGGGCCGGAGTAGGAAACGAGCTTGTCCTCGCAGCCTCCTGGCACGTCTGTGCCATGCCGCCTCAGGCCGCTTGGCCGTCTGGCCGCGCCTGCAGGCACCCTGGGGCAGCGCCGCCGCCGCCTGCCGCCTTCCGCCTGCCGCGGGCGCCGCGAGGGGCTGCCGCCGAAGGGGGAGTCTGGGGGTATCCTCCCCCCCTTCTGCAGCCCCTATGGCGGCTGCCGCGCTGCCGCCACCCGCGCGTGGGTCCCCGCGGGCCCCACCCCGAGCGGGCAGCGGCTACTCCTTTTCCTCCTCCTCCTTTTATTGCCTTCCAACTCCAAACATGAACGATGACCATCTCAATGGTCGATGTTCCGCACGAGTGTCGTCCAAAACTCTTCGAATGCCGCGGCACAACTTTCCAATGCAAAAAGCTCCGCGGTGAAAGAAGATATTGGGCTAGCCATGTATATGCCCTTCAGGCCCCCCAAAAATACCTCAACCCTACGTTCTCTATCAACATGCGTTTCCAAGGCCTACGACGCAGCAGAACAGAACATTGCGACGCCGGGTGCCACCATCGCAGTGCATGACAAAGCTGACGTGGATGAGGTTCAGGGTGCAATCGCTTGGAGGGCGTACTTCTACTCATGCTCCTCCTCCCCCTCCTCCTCCTCCTCTTATTCCTCCTCCTTTTCCTCCTCCTCCCCCTCCTCCTCCTCATGCTGGTCATCATCCTCATCCTCATCCTTACCATCATCCTCATCCTGCTGCTCCTCCTCATTGTCCTGCTCGATTGTATCATCTTCCATTTCTTCCTCCTCCTCCTCCTCCTTCTCCTCCTCTTCCTCCTCCTTCTCCTCATGCTCATCATCATCCTCATCCTCAGCATCATCCTCATCCTGCTGTTCCTCCTCATCGTCCCGCTCGATAGTCTCATCTTCCATATTTTCCTCCTCCTCGTCATCATCATCATCATCATCATCATCATCACCACATCATCGTCATCACCATCATCATCATCATCATCATCATCATCATCATCATCAACATCATCATCACCATCACCATCACCATCACCATCACCATCACCGCCATCATCATCATCATCAGCATCATCATCACCATCACCTTCACCATCACCGTCACCATCACCGTCACCATCACCATCACCATCACCATCACCACCACAATCATCAGCATCAACAGCATCAGCAGCATCATCACAATCACAATCACAATCACAATCATCATCATCATCATCAGCAGCATCATCATCGGCATCAGCATCATCATCAGCAGCAGCATCCTCATCCTCATCCTCATCCTCATCCTCATCCTCATCCTCATCCTCATCCTCATCATCGATTTCTCTTCTGTCTCCCCCTCCTCCTCCTCCTCCTCCTCCTCCTCCTCCTCCTCCTCCTCCTCTGCGTCCCCTCCTCCACGGGGCACCGGTCCTGCTGCTGCAGCGCAGCCATCTGCATGAACTGTTGTTGCTGCGCGAGTTGCTGCTGATGCAGGGCGACCTGCTGGTACTGCAGCAGCTGCTGCTGCTGAAGCTGCCTGGGAGCAGGAAAACCCTTCCCGTCGCCCACGCCCAACAGGGCCCCTCCTCGAGAGCCCGCCTTCGTGCCCTCAGGTCCCCAGTCTCTCCAGCCCCTGTTCCCCGCCCCCCCCCCCGAGTCCTCCCTTCTCTGTCCCCTCTTCCCCGCTCCCCCCCCGTCCCCCCTCCCCTGTCCCCGCTCTTCCCCGCCCCCCCCCCTACCCTCTTCCCCACCCTCCTCCCCCGCGGCCCCCCTCGTCTTCGGTCTCTCCTACTCGTCTACAATTACTCAATATGAATACTACTCTCCCTCTTCCCCCGAAGGCGGCCTGAAAGTATTTGACCCCCCCCCCCCCGCGTACTGTTTTTTTACACACAGGATTCCCGGGAGTTGGGTTTTCGCCTGCGTTTTTTTCAAAATGCTGCTCTCGCTGAGGCGCCGGCCTCATTTCTGCTCCCGAATCGTTCCGAATCGTGCTCCCGCTGCAGCGTGGGCCTCATTTTCGGATCGGTGTTTTGCCTCCGTCGTTCAGGATGGCGTTCTCGCCCCAGCGCGGGCCTCTTTCTCGCGCGCCCATCCGCCCGCCACCACTGCGCCGCACCACGCCCCGCCCCGCCGCACGCACACCCACCGCCACTTCCACCCACCAACGCACGCACGCACGCACGCGCATCACCGCGCACCGCCACCACACCGCACTACCCCACCCACCACCACCACGCTACACCGCGTCACACCACATCACACGCGCGCACACACACGCACGCACGCACGCACGCACGCACGCACGCACGCACGCACGCACGCACGCACGCACGCACGCACGCACGCACGCACGCACGCACACACACACACACACACACACACACACACACACACACACACACACACGCACACACACACACACACACACACACACACACACCACCGCCACCACCACCACCACCGCCATCACGCACGTACGCACCTGGCCCACCACCAAACCACCAAGACGCCACACCACGTCACACCACAGCACACGCGCACACACGCACACACACACACACATACACCACCACCACAACAACCACAACCACGCACACACGCACGCACGCACGCGCACCACCACCCACTACGCACACGCGCGCGGAGCCACAGGTCCGCTACGACACGCGTCCGCGGATAGAGAAAATCAGCGCCATGGTAAGGGATGGGAGGGAGGGGTAGGATGTCAGATGTTGACGCGAGCGCACCTAACTTGTCCCCGCCCCCTCCCTTCCGCTCCTCGCCCTCCCCGCCCCGTCCTTGCACTGCCCCACGGGCCCCCGCGTCTCGAGGCATTATCCCCTGCCCCTCCCTTGGCCCTCCCACCTTCCCCTGCCCCGCCCCCTCCGCCATCGCTGCCCCCTCCCACATGCCTCCCCTCCCCCTCTCCATCGTCCCCCCTCTCCCCTCCCCATCCCCTCCCCCCCCCTTCCCGTCTCTTCCCCCTCCGCCTCCCCATCCCCCTCCCCGCCCCCTTTCCCCTCGCCTCCCCCTGTCCATCCCCGCCTCCGTCCCTCCATCTACGCACAATTACAAAATGGGAGCAATGCTTCCCACTCGCCCTTCGGAGGGCGTGCTGAGGGTATCCCGACCTCTCCGTGCCGTGATTTTCGCACACGCACACACACACACATCACACCACACCACACCACACCACACCACACTACACCACACCACACCACAACACAAAACAATACAATACAACACTACAAAACACAACACACCATACCACACCACACCACACCACACCACACCACATCACACCACACCACACCACACCACACCACACCACACCACACGACATGACACAACACAACACAACAAAACGCAACGCAACACGCCACACCACGCCACACGACATGACACAACACAACACAACACAACACAACGCAACACAACACAGCACAGCACTGCACGACACAGCACAACACAACACGCACAAACACACACACACATTGATATTTCAAACATTGGTGCAGTTTCTGTGCGTTTTTCGATCCGTTCTCGGTCCTTCCACAATGGTGTTCCCGCTGCAGCGCGGGCCTCATGTGAAGATCGTGGCGTTGCTCCCGTAGCTCAAGACTGCAATCTGGGCCGCTTGTATGGTTCCAAATCCTATCCGATCGTTGTCGCCACTTTCGTTTCCCCTCCCCAACCTTCCCCCGCGTGCGGGCCGAGGAGACCCTTGGAAATCCTGCCGTGTCGGGGTTTCCTCATGGACGCCGTCGCTGGTGCCTTGCGAGCCGGCACCGCGGGCACTGGGCCCGTCGGGCCAGGGTCAGCCGCGCGGGCCGGCGCCATGGGCGTCGGGCCCGCCAAAGCACCATCTGCGCTGATGAAGCGGAAGTCGGCGATGACGTCGGCTGAGCATCGGAACGCTGGGCAGCGCGCCAAGTGGACGTCGGTGCGGTGAAAATGCTGCACGCGGCATGCCCGTCTCAAGATCTGGCGGCATTGCAGGCGCGCCACCCTATCGCCTTGCGCGAAGACCTCGCGACAGATGAGACACCCACTGTCGTCGCCGTCGAATACAGCAACTGGAGCAGGCGCGGCAGGCGCGGAGGCTGGCGCGGGAGGAGGATTAACAAGGGTTTCTGCCCAGCCCTGCGCGGCCTGGCGTCGCTGCTCGCCCTGTTGCCGCAAGAGCTCCAGTGCTAGCTCTGCGCCGCGAAGCTCGTCGAGGCGCCGTCGTTGCGCGCGGCCGAGAGCGGTGCCCGCGCTGCGTTCGGATCGGCCGCCGCTCGACGCCCAGGTCTCGCGGCTGGCGAACCACATGGCTTATCTCCCAGATGGATGGCCCACGTCGATGTGGGCGTTGCGATTGACTGGGGGCAGATCACTGGGGACTCTGGCGCTGGCGGCGACGCTGCTGCCAGCGCGGACTGCGGCGGCCAAGTCGACCCACGACCCTTGCGGCGTGCTGGCGCCGAGGCGCGCGCCGGCCGGCTGGTTCGTAGGCGCTGCGACCAGTGCGTTGACGTCGCCCACCCAGTTGCGACCTAGAGCTTGCCCAAGTAGGAAGGCCCCAGCAACTCTGGTCCGACGCAATGGCGTCGGTGGTGGTGCTGCTGCTGATGCTGCTGGGTTTGTTGGCGACGCAGGCGCGGCTGGCGATGACCCCCCCGCCCCTGCCGCGCGGGCCGATAGTGCAGCTCGTCGCAGCTTGGCCTCGCGCAAGGCCGCCGCCCAGCTCGACCGATGGCTGCGGCCCGCTGCCTCCCGCAAGCCGTCAGACGACGCGCGCGGCGCCGCTGCTGACGCTGGCCGCGGGGCTGCCGTAGCTGGAGTCGGTCGCCCGCCGCCCTGAGGGTCGGCGCTCTGCGTCGGGCCACCGTCGCTGGGGCCCCAAACCATAGGTCGTGGAATTCAAAATGTTCCTTGTCATCCAGGCCGCGCGCGCGCCTGGCGCGGGCCGCTGGGCGGCTGGACTAGGCGACCCCCGACGCCCCAGATGCGCAAGCGGCAAGGTTCTCGGCGGCAGTGGCGGCGCTGCCGAGGCTGGGGCGCCGAGGAGGAGGGCACGCCCATGCCGGCGGCGCAGGGGGCAGTCGCTCACGAGGTGACCACGGGAGTCGCACTCGTGGCATTTGAGACGCGCCCCGCCAGGACCTAGCGGGCTGCCGCGGCGGCCTGAACCCGCGCCGCCTGTTCTGACCCCCCCTGCCCCCCAACCCTGGCCACTCCCAAAACTAGAGAGCGCTTGCCGACGGTCGTTTTCGATCAGATTGGCCGAGAGGGCGGGCGCGGTAGCCCCTGCCGCGGCCCTTGCCCATGCGCCCGATGACTCTCTGGGCGCGGCGCGCGGGCTCGCGGCCGCGAAGGCTGCGCCCCCGCGACTTGGCGCGCTCGCAAACCAGAATGAGGCGCGCGCCGCGCTGCCCCAGAGGAACCTCGCGCAGGTCGGCGTCGTCGGCAGCCATCTCTTCGCATAATGAGCCGATGGCGTCGGAGTCAGCACCGCGTTCGACAACTGCTGCTGGGCGCGCCGCCTGCACCGAAGATGCCGCGCCGAGATCCGCAGCGACAGCAACTGCAGTCGGGCTCGGCGCCGCGCCCGAGGAAGCAGGGCCCGCGCCGCCCCGGCTCGAGCCGGCCGTTATGCCATAGACTCATTGAGCCTGATCTGGCGCGGGCACGCCCGCGAGGAATGCGCGGCGCCGGGCCGAATAGACGGCCGAGGCGAGGCTGCCCGGGCCAATCATGCCCGACAATTGCCGCGCGTTCGCTGGGCAGGCCACGTCGCGGCGCCGCGGGGCCACGGCGAGTCGCATGTTCGACGCGCCCACCGCGCGGGGCAAGAAGATGCCGGGGCCATCGTAGCTTCGGGGATCACATTACCCGCCAACGCCTGCGGCATGGCGATCGATGGTTTTGATGGCCCAGAATGGCCATCGAGTTCGACGACCCCCCCCCCCCCGGCGCGAAAGGAATGAACGATCGCCGCCCTCGGCCCCCCCCCGAAAAACATGTTAAAATAATCTGCCCTTTTAGGGAGTGGCGAGGGCCCCCACAAACAGCCAAGGAATTTGATGACCGCCAGGGGGGCACTGCCCACTAAGAGGGCGAGCCCATGGACGCGCGTTCATGGGCGAACCCATTTGCATCGCTGGACGCAACGCGCACCAGCGTCAGTCATGCGGTCTGCCAAGGTAAAATACGCACGGGGGAAGGGAGCGGAAGAGCGAGGGAGACAAGAAATGGAGGGGGCAAGGAAGGAGGAAAGGCAGAAGAGGAGAAGACCGACGGCGGCGCCGGGGGGGGGGACGGATGGGGGGGGGCAGAGAAGGAAGAGAGGGGAGGGAGGGGGCAACTTGTCAGGAAAGTTATTGTCAGCAGCAGCAGCCGCGGCGCCCCTCGTCTCGCTCGCGCGCTGCCCGCTTCCTGCCTCCTCTTCCTCCCCCCAGCTTTCTCATCCCTCCTCCCTCCCACGTCCTACTCCCTCCTCCTCTTCCCCGCTCCCGCGGGCGCCCTCCCCCCCCTCCTCCACTGGGCGCG